GGGGATGGACCCTGATGTCCCCAGTAAGAGCCAAACCCGACCCCCAGACTCAGATGTGTGCTGAGACACCCCAAGGATGCTCAGTGGATAATCTTAATAGCAGCCCTCACTTACTGTCAGTCTGGGATTCCTTGTTCTGGAAATCCTCATCTAAGTCTTCACCCTAAGTCAAACCCAAGGCCAGGAACTCAACCACATCCCCTGTTTCGGGAGAGCATGGGCTCCACCAGAAGCTTTGCCTTGGGCCATGGTCAGAACCAAGGCAGTGGTCCTGAAACAGGGCCAATCCCCTGGGGACCAGGGATTGTGCCACCACCTTGGACACAAACCCAACATCTGCACCATTGAGGTGCAAACAGACACCACAGCACAAGCCAGGAGCAGGAGCTGATGCTGCACCAGCCATTTGGAGGAGGAACAACACGGTCCACAGCTTTAAACTTGAAGGGGGTAGATTTAAACTGGATATTAGGGAGAAATTCTTCACTATGAGGTGGTGAGGCCCAGGCCCAGGGTGCCCAGAGAAGCTGTGGGTGCCCCCTCCCTGGCAGTGCCCAAGGCCAGGTTGGACGGGGCTGGGAGCAGCCTGGGCTGGGGGAGCTGGGACCCCATGGGGGTTGGACTGGAGGGGCTGGGAGGTCCCTTCCCACCCAAACCATCTCATGTCTCTGCGATCCAGCCCCCCCAAGGCAGGCAGCGCTCCCTCTGCACAGGTCCCTGCTTGCAAGGAAATCAATGCAAGCTTCGAATCAGCAGGTTTTGGCAAATTAGCCAAGGAGCAGAGCAGAGGAACCCGGGGCGTGATGGCTGTCCGTCAGACCGGGAACACCGTGACAGTGATGCATCCATCCCGGATGAGCCGGGCTCTGATACAGCCCAGCAGCAGTGACTCATGGAGCTGCCCTCCGATACCTGGGGGAGGGCAGCGAGGTGGCGGCGCATCCCTGGAGCTGTCCCACTTCCTTGGAGACAAATTGGAGCCAGAGAGATTCCCAAAATAAGGAAACACAGGGAGGAGGCAGCAATCTTGCCTAAGCCTCGTGGAAGGTGAAGTAAACATGACCGAGGCAATTAATTTCCCATTAATCACTGCTGGCTCCTAAGGGGTTTCAAAAAACCCCAATCCAAAACCCAGTTTGTCATTGCACGTGAAGACGAAC